AGATCAGCAGAACACAAGAATGCTTGTAAAAACGACAAGGTCCTATGGTCATAAGTTGCCGAATATAGAGCAGAGACCGTAAATGAAATATAATGGTCTCAATGAGGTTTACTGATTCTGGTACCTCAGCTGCTAAAAAGAAGATAATAAAGCTATTTAAATTAATATATTAGAGAATAAATTAAGTGTAGAATAATCTTCAGAAGAATGGCTTCTATCAGCAATACTTGCGCGTGCAAGCTTACATCACATAATACCAACAAAAGTTGTTTACGTACCTATGTAATGTCTGTCATGCTTTTCCTGGGGTCATTAGGCCTCTATGACTTGATACTGACGCTTGGCTATAATAATTATTCGGATTTAGGACCGGTATTGCATACAGACAACGAATGTGCATACACGCATACAGACATTCAAGTAAAAGTACTATGACTAATATAAAGAGAACTAACCAAATAATTATATATCTGCCTGTCTATCACTCTATATATTTATTTATTTTAGTCTCTTAATTATGATTACATATAGCATGTAGGAAAGACCTAAAAAATTGTCTGGACTACATGTCAAGTTAAGATTTTTTACAATGGCTTCCAGCTCTGATGCCTGTCAGATTATCATGGGCTGGAGAAAAGCTCAGCCCATTTTCACCCGAAATGAAGGAGGATGTTTCCTGAGCTGCGTCAACCTGAGCGTTGTATTAAAGCCAAGCGCGTAAAAACATCAGCAATTGGCCGTAGTCTTCCAGTGGGATAATTCTTTTCACCATGAACTTTCATATGAAATTAGTCTACACAATATGGTTGATAAGGTCTATGCAAGGTCGAAAGCACCTTTTGGGAAAGAAAGGCTATGTAAAATTCAATGGAAACGTCAGCTCTACTCAAAACATGATAGGAAAATTCAATCACCAGTCCTTTATTACCTTAAACGAAATTGGATGAATACATCTCCTATATCTAAAAGGCTTGTCTGGAACTTTCTTTTCTTCAGATTATCTCTAATTTAGCTAATCTTTAACCCTACATTCATGCGCTATTATAAAGACTAAAATTCAATTATTTACACTCAATGCTTAAGTATTCCTAAAAGCAAATTCTCCATTGTTTGTTGATAGTTGACCCGCTCACGAATAAAAGCCTTATCGATTGAATTTCATACAGGCTTGCTTTAAAAAAGGATTTCCAAATCAGTTGACAGAAATTATCCTCTTGATTGGGTCGCACCAGTTGGCTCGATGGGGTTCAAACACTAAAGCTTGCAATTTATATAGCTTCCGAGGGTAATAAACCCAGGATGCATTGACTGAAATAGAATTATGCTAAGATCCACAAATTAATCTTTTTATCATTCACATGACTAAGAATGAATTGGTCGAGATTATACGCTGTACTGTCATGATTTGAGTCTAGCTCGAGGTGCTGATAAGACCTAGACAAAATCGAAACTACAGTACACTCTGGATGAGGATACTTTTTTGGAAAGCAAAGATATGTGAAATTCAATGAAAACGTCATGTATACTCATATCTTTGTGGGAAAATTCAACTACAATCCCTTCAGCACCTTGAACGGAATAGGGTGAACATAACTCATATTTCTGATTTATTGGTAATCTCGAAAACCT